AATTGGTCACACACACACACACACACACACACACACACACACACACACACACACACACACACGGGCCAGTGAAAAGACCCTGTTTCTAAAACACTATGGCTATTGACTGAGAAATGACACTTGAGGCTGACTTCAGCATCCACATGCATGCACACATGTGCACCAGCACACATATGAACACATACACACAAAAACCGGATACAGATCTAAAAGGACATTTCTCAAAAGAAGACAGGAAAATGGCCAGCAGCAGTTGGGTGGGGTAGGTATGTTATCCCAGCACCGAGGGGACTGAAGCAGAATCATCCTAAACTCAAGGCCAAATAGTGAGTTCCAGGTCAGCCTTTCTCAAAAGAAGAGGACGGGGGAGGGGGAGAAAAACTTAACAAAAGAAAAAATGTCCAACAGGGGGCAATGTTCTCACCACTAACCATCAGGTCAGTGCACATCAGAACTGTCCCACCCACTCTTAGTGGAAGTGCCACAGTGGAAATCAATATGGAGTTTCCTCAAAGGGGTGTCTGACCCAATGACACCAGCTTTGCGAATATATACAAGAAAGGAAGTCACTGTGGGGGAGGAACACCTGCACACCCCTGCTCATCGTGGCACTTTTCAGAGCAGCTGAGAAGCATGGACAACCTAGAGTCTGTGCACACACCTGCAGCTCTGTGCTGGGTCCTTCAGAATCCTCCATTTCACAGGATCCCCAGAGGACTGCGAGATGAGACTATGTTCTTGCCCCCAATTTGCAGAATAAGAAACAAGGCTGCAAGGAAAACGCTGTCCCATCTAAGGTCAGCCACTAATCAAGGCAACACCTCCCCTTCTGCATCCCTCATGTGAGGTGTTTCTCCCGGACAGAGCCAGTGAGAGCCACACAGAGCAGCTGTCCCTCTCCGGTTGACTTTGGATGAGCCTGGTGTTTATTTCTAGATAGTGTCACACACGGGCACACACTGACATTGTCACCTTCCGTTATGGAAAGCAGGCCTCTTCCTGTGCCCCTGGGAGAAAGGTTCTTTCGGAGTGCTGGGACAGGAGCGAACTGGAATGTTATCATAGCACAGACACCCCCTGCCCTCCGTGGGACCAGTTCCTTAGTCTCTCCCAATCAAAGCCTTTCCCCAGACAGCATCCTCCCTGCCCTTCGGTGTCCACAGGTCCATCTGGTCCAAATAGAATGGAGTTCTCACCTACCCCTGGTTAGTTTGCAACTGGGAAACCCAGCCCCGTGTGTGATATAATTGCCTGGGCCAACCTCCCTCCCCAGGCAAGCCTGTGTGACACTGAATTCCAGAGATGAGATTTTTGTACCTGATGCTCCCATTTCAGCCAAAAGGCTGGAAGCCTCTCTAGAATGCCATTTAAATAAGAGCATCTTCACTCTGTGGTCCAGCCAGGCTTAAGGCCATTCATTGGTTCTTCAGTGTGAAATTACACGGTGGAAAACTCACAGCTGTTCTTCTTTTTCCTGAGGTCTGTGTGCATATGTGTGCGGGTGTGTGGTGTGTGTCATGCACACACTTGCATGGATGTGAGAGAAGGAATGTGCTCTAACTCCAGCCTGTGCTCAGTTTCCCCTGTGCTAGGACTATTCTGGTTGTTTCACATGGATGTGTGTACACACATGGGTGCACACTTGCACAAGCACACACACACACACACACACCCCTTCTTCTTCTTCTTCTTCTCCTCCTCCTCCTCCTCCTCCTCCTCCTCCTCCTCCTCCTCCTCCTCCTCCTCCTTCTTCTTCTTCTTCTTCTTCTTCTTCTTCTTCTTCTTCAGTCCTCCCCAACTTCCAGAAAGGCAGACATGGGTACTCGCCGCATTCACAGATGCAAGTTCTCATCCCACTCTGCCCCTCATCAGCTCACACTCCCTCTGAGTTTACCTCAGCCTTAGTCCATCGACACACAAACTCGGTTTACAAACCCTTGGGTCACTCTCGTCCCTAGAGAATCCTGAGAAACGTAGCAGAAGGTTCTTGAGCTCATGCAGGGAAGGATTTGGTTTCTAAGGGTGTAGATCCCGGCCCTGGCACCACACTGGAGCTAGCTAGTAAGTGAGCGAGGCAGAAAACCCACTGAGACCAAGGAGAGCAGGAAATGGGCAGACGAGGAGCAGAGTCTAGGACAACAAGAACAGCTGTGGGGCTGGGAACAAGGACAGTGACTCTAGCAACCCTCAGGCCACAAGGACAGCCACCACCTCCACTGTGATGGTGCCTCCACTGTGTGGGCCAGGCCCTGCCAAGCCAGCAGAAATCCTCTGCAGGAAGATCAAACATACCTTTGGGAGACATTAGGGAAGTGCCTGACCTCGGAGGAGCCCAAAGCTCCAGATGGACAGGGTGGGCTCCCAGACCCACCACCCACCTGTCAGCACCAAACAAGCAGCTCACCCACCCAGGCAGTCAGTCCCTCCTACCCCCCCCCCAAGGTGTGGGTGAGCATGGCTCCCAGATTGGGAAACCCTGGCAGGCCACAGCCACTCTGTAGACAGTCCTGAGACTCAGCAAACCCCCTACTTCCTCAGGCCAAGTCATCTGGCTCGCATTTAATTGCTCCCACATTCTGGGGATTAGAACATATGTTTGAAAGCTGTGTGCCCAAGGGTCAAAGAGCAAAACACGTTGTGGAGCCAGGCTGGGCGGGGGGATGCACCATGTGGTCCACTGGGGGACCTGAACCAGCCTCACTTTCTAAGAAGGGACCCCTGGATGACCTAAGCCATGCCCCCTCCCAAGCCATCTCTCTTGAGTTACCCACTTGCTACAGACCACGGAATCTGCCTCCAGCAGCTGTGCTGAGCCTGTAAACTCTGTAAGAAAGTCAAGTGCAAAGAGTTTAGCGGGGTGCTGGCCCCACAGGCAGCTCCTGCCCTTCTTGCCCTTGTCTCCTTAGTGCCTGTTTATTAGTGTGTGTACCAGCCAGGCCCTGAGCTGGGTGGGCATCAGTAGCTGTCAGATGCCAGTTCACTCCAGGAAAGGCAAAGGAGAAAGCTGGTCTTAATTTTGGAGCAGGTCAGTGCCTCCAGGAACCTGAGGGGCATGAATAGGAGGATGGACCCAGGGGCAGGCACATGGACAGGTGCAGACAGGCATGTTCATCTAGTCTCAAGATGATCAGTGAGTCTTTCCAGGGGCTTTTGTCTTCTTTGGAAGACCGGAAGCAAAGTCAATCATTAAGTTCAGAATTTATGTTGTCCACACCCTGCTAGGCTCCAGTCTAGATTTAGGGTAAATACAGCTTCTGTTACCATTGGTGGGAATATTAATACATCCAGTCAAAAATCTTGACCATCTCTCCTGCCTTCATGAACATCCTCTCCCACCATCCATCAGTCAGAAAGTCCTGTCTCTCCTTTTGTCAAGCATCTCCAGGCTCTCGCGTCTTCCTAACGCCACTGCCGGGACCTGCCAGGAATACTGGCAGGGCACTCGAGTGTCTGTTCTGGCCTTTCTTGCAGCCTTCATCCATGTTGAATCTTCAGTGCCCACCCTGCCCCCTGCTACTGCCCACAGCATCAAGCCCTCCTCTCTCCATAACATGGAAACAGACCTTGTGCTTGGCTGGGCCTCCCTCCCCTGCTCTGTTTCCATCTCAGGAAAAGCCTGGGATTTGGAAGCGTGTTTCAGACTTTTCCATCTCTGTTTCTCTCCATCCTGCTCCTGCCTTGCTCTGATAATTCATTCTGTCTCCCCCTCTAGACCGAGTTGAGCCCCCTTCCCGAGCAGGGCAAGCCAGGATAGGCCCCCTATTTTTGATTCGTTTGTTTGTTGTTTTGTTTTGTTTTGTTCTTTTCTAAGTGTGTGTTGAAGGAACACTCCGCTAGGCTCTTCACACTTGTCCTCACTGATGAGTCTCCTTCCCTACCCACAAGGCTCCCGGCTCACCATTGGCCATGCAGACTGTCAGGGGCTGCCTCATCCTACAGGGTAGGGTCTGAGGTGTGATGGGAATAGAGGAGTTACAGGTTTGGTGGAAGCATGCATCTGTGGGAGGTACATTGCTTTGGGGAACTGAGAGGCCATCTTCCAGGATGCCCTGCCCCTTAACTGATATTAGCCTTCGTACCCATGGGACCCACCAATGCTGAAGTCCCTTATGTAGAACGACTTTATATTTGTGTATAACCTACCCACATCCTCACAGATACACTAAATCATCTCTAAGTGCCTGATACAGTGTAAATGAAATGCAAGTTGTTGTTATACTCGGAGAATAATGACAATGGCCTGTTAAATACAGGCACAATTTTTTTTCAAGTATTGTGTGTGTGTGTGTGTTTGTGTGTGTATGTTTGTGTACTTGAGTGTAGGTATGTGTGTGTGCAAGTGTGTATGTGTGTGTATGTATGTGTGTGTGTGTATGTTTGTGTACTTGAGTGTAGGTATGCGTGTGTGTGTGTGTGTGTGCATGTGTGTGCATGTGTGTATGTGTGTGTGTATGTGTGTGTGCACATATATGTTCAGAGTCAGCATCCGTTTTCTTCTGTGGGCAAGCCTCATCACAGCCACTACCACAATTTCTAGACTGTTCCTTCAGTCTCCTCATGCACATCTAACCCCAGAGCTGGGCTTCATGTCACATGCCTTCACCCCCATACTTCCATCTACCCAAAATGTTTTCCCTCTTTATCTCTCTCCTCCCTGGTAAAACCCAAAAACCTGCTCATTGGACAAGCAAGATCTAATTCACTTTTAGCTTTTCCAGAGTGTAACACAAATAAGTGCCAACCAGCCTCAAATGATGAACACATGAACCCATGCATGTGGGAACCATCACTGCCTCCCACGTGGCCACCCAGGCCCCTCCAAGGATGAAAGTATCTCTTCTTGGTTCTGTGACTGACCCTTATTTACAAGGCCATTGTGGGCAATACTGTGACCCCATGGTGGCCTTGAGCTGATGCGGTGGGGAGTGGCCAGGGATGTGCTGAGGTCAGGGTGGGAACCCTTCTATGCTGACAGCGGCTCTCCTGCTTGTGTTTTGCAGGTCCTCCAGTAAGTGTCTCGGACTTTGTGCTGTTTTCCAGAAAGATAAGACATTTATTTGGTTCTCTCTATGAAATCAACTCCCAGGGACTCAGCTTTTGGTTAGAGAAATGTGTTGTTTAAAAACAAAGAAAATGGCCGGGATGTAGTTCAATTGGTAGAGTGCTTGCCTGGCATGTACAAGCCCTGGGTTTGATCCCCAGCACCACATAAAACACTGTGTGGTGCCGGGTGTGGTGGCACACATCTTTAATCCCAGCACTTGGGAGGCAGAGGCAAGCAGAGCTCTGTGAGTTCAAAGCCAGCCTGGTCTACAAAGTAAGTTCCAGGAAAGTCAGAAAAGTCGGGGCTTTTACACAAAGAAACCCCATCTCAAAAAAAAAAAAAAAAAAAAAAAAAAAAAAAAAAAAAAAACAGCCCTGTGTGGTAATACACACCTATAATTCCAGCATTTGGGAACCAAAGGCAGGAAGATCTTGGCTATCCTTAACTACATAGGGAGATTGAGGCCAGCTTGGGTTACATGAGAACCTATCTCAGAAATAAACAAACAAAAAAAGGATCCATCCCAGGCAGAGGCTGAATTAGTTCTTAAATAGTAGAAGAAATCCCTGAGCTTGCCTTGCCCAGTAGAACATTCTAGACCGGCTTCTTTTCAAGAGAGCTCACACGAACCTAGCAACTCCTCCCCAAATCATAGGTTCAACTTTGTGCACAAAAAATGCTAAGTGCTAGCTCATATCTCTGAAGTGTTCTGTGGCTGCTGAAATTGTAGCTCCAAGACAATGCTGGGCTTGAAAACTGGATCCTGGGGTTCATTTTTCTTCTTAACCAGCATGTCTTGCTCCCAGCTGGGACTTGGTGAGCCTGGCTGGCTGGCGGAGGTAAAAATGTCACTTCATTTAAAGAGGGTGTGAAGGGAAGCTCGGAATTTGCCTTGGCCAGAGGCTGCTTTAATGGCAGAGACTCCATGGCCCTGGGAATCCCACTTTCTCCTGGTTATGGATGTATCTGCCTTTGATTCCTCTTGGCGGATTCTCGGGGCCAGATAAACCCCTATGCATCCATTCAAGCTGCACACTGACAGTCAACAGGAGCCAAAATTCACCTTCCAAAGGAATTCTTCTCAGATGAGCCATTTTGCTTCTGACTTCTACTTCCCATGATTCATCACCCCCACCCCCTATCAGTACCCTTCGGAATCTGGGCTTCTCTGTGCATGTAGCATCAGTTTGAGCCAAAGAAAAGACAGGCCAACAAAAATGTGTAGGTTTTTGGCCACAAGTGCACTTCCTGGTAGAGTGATCCCCGAGGCCCCTCCGAGGCAGCGTGTGCAAACTTGTGGAAGTGCAAAACGCAGGGGCTAAGACGTGGTTTTGTTTGGGCTCTGTTGTTAAAATATTAAGTGGGTTAAACAAACAGGCATTCTTAAGCTACCACTGAAGAAGGAGGTGGTTCAAAGAAGGAGGTAGATGTCCATGTGTGGGACACTGTCTCAGATGTCAATGGCCTCAAACAGAGCCGGGGGACAGAGCAACAGGAGCAGTGCACGTCCCCCCATCTCTAGCTTCCAGAACTTTCTCAGCTCAACCTGTCCCAGTAGAAGCAAGGATGAACTGAGCATCTACTGCATCCCTCACATAAGGGACATTTTCAGTCCCCAGTTTGGTCACAGTGGTTGTGACACCTCCTTCCAGCCTTATGTGACCACACGGCCTCTGTCTTATGCCAGGACTGAACATAGAGGTGACACATATGGGTACAGGGCCTTGATGGCTCTGACAAAGGCCCATAGCCCCGCCCCCACGGCCTCTAATAGGAGAAAGTAGCTGTCAATCTGACCCACCAGAGCCCTGGCATCATCCCCCTGAAAGAACACACTACAGCTAGCAGTGTTAGTTCTCTGCAAACCACACAGAGAACAGTAGGGGGGTATGGCTGGAAAGAGTTATAAGCATTGCCATATGGTTTTCTGCCAAAACTCTGATTATTAATGGCTTATTAATTACCACAGGGGCAATCAGGACGAGATGGCTACCCGGTAATTGACGTTTATTTTTTTGTTCTCTCTCTGCCTCCTCCTTTTAATCCGACATTCTCCTCCTGAACCTTGACTGAACTGTCTCGCTCCACCTCCCTCCTCCTGCGCTGCTCAGTAGCTGGCCTGTCTCTGTCTACAGAAGGATCAGTGTGCACTCTGGGCAGACCCTGGCCTCACGGCCTTCCTGAGATGCCTCCCAGGCAAAGCAAAGAGGCTTCCAGAAAAACAGCTCTCCTTCCAGCCCAGTGTACCTGCTGAGCCTTGAGTTGGGCATACAAGTCTGACCCTGGAAGGCACTGTACCTCTTCCTAGTGGCAGGGACTCCCTGCGATCTTACCACTCAGAATCAGGGAGCTGGTTAGTTCCAGTTTGACCTCTATGGTATGGAAACCTCACAAAACACGTTAGCTTGTGTTTGGGGATTGATGTCCCTACCCAGACCAAATGAGTACCATATCAAAGACAAGGAGTTGAGATGACGGTGCTGATGCCCTGGAACACACAAGGACCAAGCCAGGGGAGGTGATACATGGCTGAGGCAGGAGGACTTACATGAGTTTGAAGCTAGCCTGATCTACATAGTAAGATTTTTGCCTCATTAAAAAAGGAGTAGGGGGAGGAAATTGTATGAAGCCAGTAGAATAGATCTCAGGGTGTCTGTAGAATGCAAGGGTTTATTCTGTGCCTTCAGGAAGGGGGATGCAAGGAGGGAAATGCCAGCTGGTTCCAGGATCTGTCTGGAGTCAGAACTGGCTGGCAATGGTGATGTGGTCCCCAGTCCTGCAGAGCATGCCTCCCAGAAGGCTGAGGAAGGCAGTCCATCCCTGAGCATCAGGGAGACCTGGGCTTGATTCCAAACCTACGGCTTCAGAGCTTGGTGAAGGTGCACACCCTCTCTGAGCCTCAGTCTCCTCCTCTGTGAGACAATGAAGGCCTCAGAGTATAGGGACTGAGACTAAATGAGACCAAGAGGTGACAAACCCGCATAAAGGACACAATGAGTCATAGGTAGCGCTCTAGGATGTGATAAGACCTTTTGGGCACATTTATCTTGTGCCCAAAGCAACACTGTGCTAGGTCCAGGCCCCTTTGAGGTCTCCTGGGTGGCTGAGGCAGCTTCCCCAGCAGGCAATCTGACCTATCGGGCCAGAGCACTGGGGCTCTACATGAAATGTGAATGACATATAGATGAAATGTGACATCCACAGAGCACACTGGGGTCAAATCCTGCCCGGTCCCAGGACCTCTTCCTGACTAGTAAGGAGTCAAGCCTTCACTCTGACTCCTGCACGTGGCAACAAGGGTCTTGGGGAACCACAGGCTTCTCTTCTGGGGGGGTCGGGGGAGGGGCGTTGCATCCCAACAAGCCCACTGTCGATTGAAAAATATATATTTTTTTAAAAAAAAAAGTACCTGGTCCATCCAACTTCCCAACCATCCTGTTTAGGAACAGCATGTCGCAGAGCCTTGATGTCCCCTCCCACACCCGCACACTCCTACCCAGTCATGATCTCAGAGCAGATAACGGAGCTGCGGCTCCCTGCCATGGCCAGCTGCAGGCAAGAGAATCTTAACACACAGCATGTACGCTACCCTGGAAGAACCGGATCCCAAACTCCAAGTCCCGTTCCCACTGATGCTTTGCTTTCAGGCCGTTGCAAAAATCTCAAATCAAACTTTCAGAGTTGAGCCTCTGTGTACATGCAAGGCCCACAGGAGAGCGGGAAGTCTCCGCTGTTTACTGTGAGCAGACACTGACTGAGCCGGGAGCCCTCTCCACTGGCTGAGCGCATCGGAGCCATGGGCTGGTGATGGAAGCCATTTTTTCCCCCTGCATAAGGAGCAGGGACTTGTTCGAAACAGCTGCCAGGGGGTCTGCCCCCTGCAAAGGCCTCTTCTCTCTGCGCTATCCCTGCTTTCTTCCAAGGAAGGGGGGGGATGGCAGGAGGCCAAGCGTGGAGTTTAGCAGCAGATTTGAATTTGCTGCCACTGGCTGGCTGAGAAGCCTGGAGTAGGAGACCCCACCCCTAAGCGTCCCTGAACCTCAGGTTCCTTCCAGTCAGTAGAGGTTGTCGAAAGTCCTTTCCTCAGGAGGCTGGGTTTCTGTTGAATGGAGATTCACAAAGAGCACTCATGACATGCAGGTCACAGCAAACCAATGTCATCTGATGGGCCATCAAAGGCACTGTGGGAATTAAATGTGAAATGTAGCATATGAAATGTGCTCCAAGCCTGGCCCACAGAGGGGATCTGTGAATTCTAGGATGGGGGCGGGAGTAAGGATGTGTGTGCCAAGAGCTCAAGGGTCTCTATGTCCTGATGCAGGTGGTTCTCTGAGAAGGAGGTCAGTGGAGGCCCAGCAGGCCAGCTGTCCCCACTTCCTGTTTGCAGGCCTGACGCTACCACCCTGAGTTCATGAAACAGTTCCTCAGGTCACTGAGGCAAGCTGGGTCCAGTGAGTGATGAGAGGACCCATCAAATCCCCCAGAAAGCCGACATCACAGCCCATGGTCACTCTCTGCTGGCTGGTATATGGACCCCTGGTCCTACCTTTCACCGCCTGAGCTGGCCCCCTGCTGAACTTGGATGGACAGGAGCACTTGGTTCTGGTCCCGGATCTGGCGCTGCCCCATGGGCTGTCGGTTTCCTGAGACCTTTGTGGGGAGGGGGTACCCGCTGCCAGAGAGAAAGCAGTCCCAGTGAGGGAGAAGCTGGACTTCGTGGGCCACTTCCACCTGTGGCATTTGAGTTCAGTTCCATTCTCTTGGCCTGTGGAAAAACAGAAGCCTGTGGTCAGCTACTGATGTCCCCCATGGGGTCAACACAACTGCCCAGAGTTATGCGTTATGCACATATTGGAAGAGACCACTGTACCACATCAGCTTGTTCATGACTGTGAACAATTACAAATTTGCAGAAATTTTTTATGTGGTGCTGGGGGATTGAACCCAGGGCTTCATGCATAATAGGCAACTGCTGTACCACCGAGCCACGGCCCCATCCCAACAAAGCTCATGTATGCACACATACCTGCACAGGTTCACTCGCCCTGCATGAACATGGAGAGACCAGAGATGGATTTCCGTTGTCTTCCCCATCAGTCCTACATACCCTGGCGGTGGGGGCGGGGGGGGGGGGGCTTATTTTTTGAGACAGGGTCTCTCAATGAACCTAGAGCTCACCATTTTGGCTGGATTGTCTGGCCAACAAACTCCAGAGATGTGCTTGTCTCTTCCCCCACCTCCAGGCCCCCAGTGCTGGCGGTATCAATGCATGCCACCATGTCTGGCTTTCACCTGGGCGCTGGGGATCCAACCCAGGTCTTCATGCTTGTCAGAAGTACTTTACCTACTGAAGTATCATCCAAGTCCACCAAGATAAAACTTCTATGGTGAGGATAGAGCTCAGCTGGTAGTGTGCTCACTCACCTAGCATGTATAAAGCTCCAGGTTCAGTACCTCACACCCCATAAAACTTGGAGTGTTAATGTACACTCCAAGGCGAGAAGGATCAGGAGTTCAAAGTCATCTTTAGCTACATATTGAAGTTGAGGTCAGCCTGAGCTACATGAAACACTGACTCAAAAATAAGTTAAGAGTGCTTGTTCTTGCCGAGGAACCAGGTTTGGTTCCCAACACTCATGGTGTCTCACAACCTTGTAACTCCAGTTCCAGGGGATCCAATGCCCTCTTCTGACCTCCATAGGCATCAGGCACACATACATACATACATGTATAGACAAACATACATGCATGCATGCATACACTCGTGCACATAAAATAAAGTACATCTAAAAAACAATTTAAATACATAACTATTTTTTAGAATGGAAAAGAAGGGCCAGCAAGATGTCTCCCGGGCTAAAGGCACTTGCCATGCAAACCTGACTGCCAGAGTTCGATTTCAGAGTCCATGTGAAAGGTGGAATGAGAGAACCAACTCCACAAAGCTGTCCTCCGACCTCCACATACACACTGTGGTGTGCATGCCTACACACATATATGCATGGACACACACCAGTAAATAAATAAATAAGTAAATAATAAAGATGATGTAATTAAAATGTTTAATGAAGGAAAAAATGAGGAAATCCTTCGAATCCACTCAGCATACACCCGGGCATTTGGATAGGAATCCAATGTTGAGATTGATCAGTTTTAGGATGTTTAGCTGCTGAATTTTAGTGTTGGTATTTTGTTTGTTTGTTTGAGGGAATCTTAGAGGCCATGTTCATTTTGTTGGCAAACTTCAGGACCAGGGAGGATTTTCTTTTTCCTCTTGAGCCAGAATCTCAGGGGGGAGAAAGACCAAGAAAAGATGGAGCAAAGGCTGGGATGGGGCCCTGGCCTGTGTTTTCTACATTCATCCCTCTGCCCACCCCACCCCCCAGCTGAAACCAGGCCCATATGTGCGGCCAGGAGGAGTGGCTGAGGGGGGGGGGGCAGCAGGGGCCACCCACATCTGTGAGGCAGGTTATAGACTCAAGGGGGTCAGAGCTGACAGGGCTCCGGGGTCACTGTCTCCGTGCCCTTCCTGAACAGAGGCTCTGTCCTTTGTGCCCCCAAGGGCTTGTTAACAGAACCTTATGGTTGCAATAAATGCATGTCATGTCTATTGTAAAACATTTGGAAAATAGAGAAAGGCACCCAAAAAAAAAAGGAAAAAGCAGTCCTCCTTCCTTCTGCCACCCACAGACGATACATCTCACTATTTTCATGTTGTTCTAGCATTTTTTATACGCCACTTTGTTCCCATACTTCCTATAAAAACAAGGCTAGAGGGACACGCTCCTCTCTCTCATCTGATATATCATCAGACACTCCCACACCATTAAAACCCCTAATAGAATGTAATAGCTGCATAGTATCTGATCACATGTATAATTTTATTTAGCCAGTCTCCAAGTTATATCATTAAATAGGGACAATTTTTCATCCTTACACTCAACATCCTGGGAGTAAGTGGAGGCTTATTTCTGTGATTATCTCCATAGAATAAAA